ACAGCCTGGTTGATCAGTCCAGCAACCAGGAGGCCTGGTCGACGACCGGGCCGCGGGGACACTAAGCCCCGGAAGCACCTCAAGGTAGCCTCAAGGTAGGTATGTCTGATATTAGGATGTAAGCAAACTGTGGACACCGCTTGGAAAGCAAATACTCCAGGTACTTAGAGAAAAGCCTCTGGAAAGCTGGAAAGGTAGAGCAGAAAGCAGGTGGTGGACCCTGCCAACCCATGCAGGTGAGTACACACACACCGGACACACAAACGTTTGGGGTCGTTGTCCGTTTTCCGTTTCTTTGGTTGCGGCCTTGTCTTGCTGTGGGGGGGGGGGGGAACTGTGGGGGGTTGGGGTGGGTGAGGGGGGAACTGTGGGGCAGAGGCGACGTTATGTGGGGGGGGGGGGAACTTACTGTTTTAATTTTTTTTTTAAATATGTTAACAAGTATTTTCGATCTCCTGTCTCTTGTTTGGCTTTCTGTTTCCTTTGTATTTCTTCAGTTGATTATGATGGCTTTAGCTTCTATATTTCCTGTCTCCCTGTTTACATTACTTTTTCTTTGTTGAGGTATGGTTTCCTCTGAGCACTTGAGGGAGGAGAGAGTGTGATGGCGAGGGAGGGTGAGGAGAGGTGGCGTGAGAGGGTGAAGATGGTGAGGGAGGAAGTGTGCTAGCGTGCGAGGGAGGAAGATGGTGAGGGAGAGAGCATGCTGGTGAGTGAGGGAGAGAGAGAGCATGCTGGTGAGTGAGGGAGAGAGCATGCTGGTGAGTGAGGGAGAGAGAGAGCATGCTGGTGAGTGAGGGAGGGAGAGAGCATGCTGGTGAGTGAGGGAGGGAGAGAGCATGCTGGTGAGTGAGGGAGGGAGAGAGCATGCTGGTGAGTGAGGGAGGGAGAGAGCATGCTGGTGAGTGAGGGAGAGAGAGAGCATGCTGGTGAGTGAGGGAGAGAGAGAGCATGCTGGTGAGTGAGGGAGAGAGAGAGCATGCTGGTGAGTGAGGGAGAGAGCATGCTGGTGAGTGAGGGAGGGAGAGAGCATGCTGGTGAGTGAGGGAGAGAGGTGAAGGCTGAGATGTGTGTTTGTAGGCCACCGCTCTCCCACCTCCACCCCTCACCCACCCCTCACCCACCACCTCCCGGACCCTAAACTTTCCTTTTCTGGTACAGGAACATAGTAAACCTCATGAAGCCCAAGCTGACGTAGGCTTAAAGTACAGGATATGTGAGCTAGGGCTTCCACAGAGCTTCACGTGCACTATACTCTCAGCATCATAGACAACGGAGCAGCTAAGCTCAGTAGCGGCAACTATTTGGATGACAAAATCGAACTGAAAAAGTGGAGTGCCACGAGGAAACTGCCTATCACCCTCGCTTTTAAGCATATATACCTATCTTGAGTTTCTTTCGGGGATCAATGGCCCCACGGCCCTGTCTCCGACCAGGCCTCCCAATTGGTCGTCTGGTCAACCAGGACAACTGGCCAACCGTGGACATCTTCAAGAGAAAACTAGATAGTTTCCTCCAAGGAGTGCCGGACCAACCGGGCTGTGGTGGGCCTGCGGGCCGCTCCAAGCAACAGCCTGGTGGACCAAACTCTCACAAGTCAAGCCTGGCCTCGGGCCGGGCTTGGGGAGTAGAACTCCCAGAACCCTATCAAGCAGGCTGTTGGAAGCGGCTGCTCGTAGCCTGACGGATAAATACCAAACTCTTCCTACGAAGAACGTCGCATTTCGCTCGGACGCGTTACACAAGGAGACAAAAATTTCGTACTAGAAAATGGAAGCGTTTGGCGAAAGTGACGTACTGTCCCGTTTTCTGTTTTGGGTCCTCTGGTAGGTTAGGAGAGGGCACTTTATATTGAGCGTTTTCTTGACGCTGGGAAACCTTAGGAGGACGGACTGAATATACAACTGACTTGGCCCCCCCCCCCCTCCTCAAGATGGAGAATACGTCACATGCACTGATGATGTTACTCTGATCTTGCTCAACTGATGTTGTTACTCAAATAATATACTAAACAGAACCACCAAAGTTCCTAACAGCCAACAACAAGACCAAGGCTGCAATTGAATTCACAAGCAACTTTGAAAATCAATGGAAAATAAGTACAAACAATTAATCGTTCCAAAATAATATACATTACAAAAAACAGACCTCCATTATCGTTGACAACCGTCCTATCTAACATACGGATGTCAGCAGGATAAGGGACTCGTGATAAACACACCAGGAGTCAAAATTCACGCAAAACAGAATAAAAAATTAAAAAAAAAATTGTCCCAGGAAAAGTGAGGACATCCTGTAGCCTTCGCCTGAACACATAGCTACACTTACATAAGGCTCATAGTCCGGCCGCACCTGGAATATCCTCCAGTACCACTACATACCTTACCTTGCGGTACATACGTCAGGCTGCGAGCAGCCGCCTCCAACAGCCTGGTTGACCAGTCCAGCAACCAGGAGGCCTGGTCGACGACCGGGCTGCGGGGTCGCTGAGTCCCGAAATCACCCCAAGGTAACCTCAAGGTACCTTGCGATGATTTCGGAACTCAGCGTCCCCGCGGCCCGATCCTCGACCAGGCCTCCTCGTTGCTGTCTTGGTCAACCAGGCTGTTGGACGCGGCTGCTCGCAGCCTGACGTATGAGTCACAGCCTGGTTGATCAGGTACATCCCTAGTGCATTCCATTTTCTAAATACTCTGATTCTGAAAAAGTTCTTTCTAATGTCTTTGTGGCTCTAGGTAAGGTAGGCTCATTTGGGTACTCAGCTTCCACCTGTATCCCCTTGTGCGTGTACCGCCCGTGTTAAATAATTCAACCTTATCTACCCTGTCAAATTCCCCTGAGGATTTTGTATGTGATGATCATGTCTCCCCGAGCTCTTCTGTCTTCCAGACAGAAGTGTGTGTGTGTGTGTGTGTGTGTGTGTGTGTGTGTACTTACCTAATTGTACTCACCTAATTGTGCTTGCAGGGGTTGAGCTCTGGCTCTTTGGTCCCGCCTCTCAACCGTCAATCAACTGGTGTACAGATTCTTGAGCCTATTGGGCTCTATCATATCTACATTTGAAACTGTGTATGGAGTCAGCCTCCACCACATCACTTCCTAATGCATTCCATTTACTAACTACTCTGACACTGAAAAAGTTCTTTCTAACGTCTCTGTGGCTCATTTGGGTACTCAGCTTCCACCTGTGTCCCCTTGTTCGCGTCCCACCAGTGTTGAATAGTTCATCCTTGTTTACCCGGTCGATTCCCCTGAGGATTTTGTAGGTTGTGATCATGTCCCCCCTTACTCTTCTGTCTTCCAGTGTCGTAAGGTGCATTTCCTCAGCCTTTCCTCATAACTCATGCCTCTTAGTTCTGGGACTAGTCTAGTAGCATACCTTTGGACTTTTTCCAGCTTCGTCTTGTGCTTGACAAGGTACGGGCTCCATGCTGGGGCCGCATACTCCAGGATTGGTCTTACATATGTGGTGTACAAGATTCTGAATGATTCCTTACACAGGTTCCTGAACGCCGTTCTGATGTTAGCCAGCCTCGCATATGCCGCAGACGTTATTCTCTTTATGTGGGCTTCAGGAGACAGGTTTGGTGTGATATCAACTCCTAGATCTTTCTCTCTGTTTCATTAAGTACTTCATCTCCTATTCTGTATCCTGTGTCTGGCCTCCTATTTCCACTGCCTAGTTTCATTACTTTGCATTTACTGTGTGTGTGTGTGTGTGTGTGTGTGTGTGTGTGTGCGTGTGTGTGCGTGTGTGTGCGTGTGCGTGTAAGAGATATTTAAGGACGTAGTGTGGTGGGCTGGGCCCCGTACTCTTCTCCCTCCCTGTGCTCAGGTGTCATTGAACCCTGCTGGTTTTCCTCCTTCTTTCGCTCCTCGTTATCGTATATCTCTGGTTCTTTCTACTCTTCTTCATCTTTCTCCTCTTTTTCTTCATCCTTCTCTTCATACACATTTTCAAACGAGATTTGTAATTATTGAGTACTTTAATTTTCTAGATCAACACGCTGTGGATCCTTGACAATGTCTTAGCTACTTGTGATTTGGTGTTGTAAGCGTAAGAGGTTATGGTGAGTGGGCCAAGTAGCAGCGGGGGCGTAAGGAAGAGACCATCACTACCCACACCGGTATGGTGGAACACTCCGTTATGGGGTCACTGTCATCTTGGACGAGCTGGAGTCAAGATACCATTTGGCCACTTCCAAGCCCCAAGTAACTTCAGTAGATTTGTGAGACTTTTAAGATCTGGGGAATGAGAGAGGCAAGTTCAGCCCCGTCGCTGTGCATTCATCCTAGGACATCACCCAGAGTAGAGGCGGCAGAGGAGGCAGCAGACTTCCAAACGGATGTAAACAAGGTCTTTCATTGGGTCACATTTGTCTTCACAGAAAGTGAAGACAAATTCCAGCTCCTGCGCTGCGGTAAAAGAAATTAAACCAGAAATCTCCTATAAAACACAGGCAGCCCTCACACACTACAGGGAGAACATGCGACTTTGAAGACGAAGGTCGTCTTGATTGTCAGGGTCAGCAAGGTGTGTGTGATCCTTAAGGACATGTCTCTGACATGGCGTATAATTTCCGCTTTCTCAGTGTTAACATGAAGAGTCAGGTCCTTGTTGGGGCTAATGCTGTAATATGATGACCAGTTGTCGGTAGCGACAGGAAAAACATGACCGTTACTAGTAAAAGTGCTAGTAATTATAGTTGTATAGAACTAATAGCAACATTTCATTAATATTATTAAAAGTAAAGCTTTGAAGAGTTATTATAACAGATGTAGCTATAGATGTAGTAGCAGTGTATAAGTTGTGGAAGGAAGGAGCAACACGATAAGAAAGGCAGATGGGGAAGAGGAACGATTTTGGTGTATAAGGTGTGGGAGCACTAGAGGCAGAAAGGAGAACACCTGTAAGGCAAGTACCCAGATAAAACAATTTGGAGAACCAGTTGTGTGTGGGAAATTGTACACCCGACTTCCGTGTTCTTCCGACAACACAGACTCCCGTTTTCTCCAGCCCTCATGAATTGGTAATTAAGTCGGCGTCCGAGATCACTACTTTGGGTCAGCTGGCTTCTTACCTTGAGACTGCCTTGAAGGATCAGTATTCCCGCGGCCCAGTATCTGACCAGACTGGGTCACAGACTGTCGGCGGCCTGGTCAGCCAGGCTATTGAATACCGCTGCACGCATTCTGACGAATAAATCATACCTTTGCCAATAAGGTGCATTTTTGGGATGTTTCAGGCTGTAAGCATCCGCGTCCAACAGCCTGGTTGACCAGCCCATCAACCATGAGGCCTGGTCAGGGACCAGGCCGCGGGGACGTTGAGCCCTGAAATGATCGCACGGAAACCGCAAGGTAACGGATATTAACGCGAACTCAGAAGACTTTGAAAGGTAAATTGACAACATGCCCATGTACTCAGCCTCTGGTCCTGACTCATGGAATTCAATATTCATAAAGAAATGTAAAGTACCAGTAGCGCGAGCACTCAGTGTAATATGGAGAAAGAGCCTGGATACAGGGGAGATACCAGCAGCACTTAAATCTGCAGATGTAGCTTTGGCACAAGGGAGGTACTAAAGCTTTGGGACAAAATTATAGACCAGTTGCACTAACATCACACATAATCAGTTTTAAAAAACTAATTAGGAATCAAATTTCTAGTTTTATGAAAATAATGAGCTACACAACCCAGGACAACATGGATTTAGAGCGGGACGATCGTGTCTGTCACAGTTACTCAACCACTTTCCTGTGTTGCCGGAACAACCGTGGACATCTTCAAGCGAAAAAAAACTAGATTGTTTTCTAAAAATAAAAAGGTGCCGGACCAACCGGTCTATGGTGAGTATATGGGTCTGCGAGCCGCTCCAAGCAACAGTCTGGTGGACCAAACACTCACAAGTCTGGCCTCGGGCCGGGCTTGGGGAGAAGAAGAACTCCCAGAACCCCATCAAGCAGGTATCACTTCGACAAAATCGCAGAAGCCTTAGAAGAAAAGCTAAATGCAGATGTTGTATACACAGACTTAGCAAAGGCATTTGACAAACGTAACCATGGAGTGATAGCCCATAACATTAGATCAATAAGAATATCAGGTAAAGTGGGGCGTTGGATTTTCAACTCTCTGTCAAACATAATGCAGAGAATGAAGGTCAATCAAATAAGATCAAGCCCCAAGTGCAGTGAAAAGCTCTGTACCCCAGGGCACAGTCCTTGCACCGCTGCTATTTCTCATTCTTATCTCGAATATAGACAAAAATACTAGTCACCGCTTCGTGTCATCCTTTGCAGTTGATACAAATACCAGCATGAAAATTGCCACTGTAGAAGACACTGAAAAACTGCAGGCAGATATTAATAAAGTCTTCGATTAGGCAACTGAAAATAACATGATGTTTAGCTGAGACTAAAGTGCCTAAATCTATGTTCTCTTGAGCGCAGGCGGGAGAGATACATAATAATATACACGTGGAAAAGAGTAGAGGGGCTGGTCCCAAACATGTACACAGAAATAACATCACATGAGACCAGAAGACATGGCAGGATGTGCAGAATACCCCCGTTGAAGAGCAGAGGTGCAACAGGTACTCTGAGAGAGAACTATCAACATCAGAGGCCCGAGACTGTTCAACACGCTTCCACTACACATAAGGGTCATAACTGGCCGACCCCTCACAAGCTAGTTATGTCCGAGTTCGTGACTTTTGACGACCGTCATAATACGTATTATCTAAACCAGGAACTGTGTTGATGAGGGACCTGTAAGACATGAGGGACCTGTAAGACATGAGGGACCTGTAAGACATGAGGGACCTGTAAGACATGAGGGACCTGTAAGACATGAGGGACCTGTAAGACATGAGGGACCTGTAAGACATGAGGGACCTGTAAGACATGAGGGACCAGTAAGACATGAGGGACCAGTAAGACATGAGGGACCTTTAAGACATGAGGGACCTGTAAGACATGAGGGACCTGTAAGACATGAGGGACCTTTAAGGCATGAGGGACCTGTAAGACATGAGGGACCTGTAAGACATGAGGAACCTATAAGACATGAGGGACCTGTAAGACATGAGGAATCTGTAAGACGTGAGGAACCTGTAAGACATGAGGGACCTGTAAAACGCCAGGAACCTGTAAGACATGAGGGACCTGTAAGACATGAGGGACCTGTAAGACACGAGGGACCTGTAAGACACGAGGAACCTGTAAGACACGAGGAACCTGTAAGACATGAGGGACCTGTAAGACATGAGGGACCTGTAAGACATGAGGAACCTGTAAGACATGAGGGACCTGTTAGACATGAGGAACCTGTAAGACATGAGGGACCTGTTAGACATGAGGGACCTGAAAGACATGAGGAACCTGTAAGACATGAGGGACCTTTAAGACATGAGGGACCTGTAAGACATGAGGGACCTTTAAGACATGAGGGACCTGTTAGACATGAGGGACCTGAAAGACATGAGGGACCTGTAAGACATGAGGGACCTGAAAGACATGAGGAACCTGTAAGACATGAGGGACCTTTAAGACATGAAGGACCTGAAAGACATGAGGGACCTGAAAGACATGAGGGACCTGTAAGACATGAGGGACCTTTAAAACGTGAGGAACCTGTTAGACATGAGGAACCTATAAGACGCGTAGAACATGTAAGACACGTAGAACCTGTAAGACGCGTAGAACCTGTAAGACGCGTAGAACCTGTAAGACGCGTAGAACATGTAAGACGCGTAGAACATGTAAGACGCGTAGAACATGTAAGACGCGTAGAACATGTAAGACGCGTAGAACATGTAAGACGCGTAGAACATGTAAGACGCGTAGAACATGTAAGACGCGTAGAACATGTAAGACACGTAGAACATGTAAGACGCGTAGAACATGTAAGACGCGTAGAACATGTAAGACGCGTAGAACATGTAAGACGCGTAGAACCTGTAAGACGCGTAGAACATGTAAGACGCGTAGAACATGTAAGACGCGTAGAACATGTAAGACGCGTAGAACATGTAAGACGCGTAGAACATGTAAGACGCGTAGAACATGTAAGACGCGTAGAACATGTAAGATGCGTAAATGAGTAACTGGACAATACTTCAGTAAGGAAGAGAGGTGATAAATGAGTAATAATGGGTCATACATGCATAACAGAGAGCTGATATATAACAAAAAATGAGTATCGAGGAGAGAGCTGATAAATGAGTAACTGGACAATAAATGAGTAAGGAAAAGAGGTGATAAATAAGTAACAATGGGTAATGAGTAACGAAGAGAGGTGATAAGCTAGCAATACGAGGTACTACATGAATAATGAAGAGAGAGCTCTTAAATGAGTAATAATGGGTAATACATGAGTAACGAGGAGAGATCAGTGAGTGAAGACTGGAGCAGCGGTCACTGAACTCCTGTTCTCTCGCACCCCTTCCCCCCACACCACCCCTCCCCCTCCCCTCCCCTTCGTCAGTGAGAGTGAATGAATGGCTGGAAGGGGGGCGAGCACTGGAAGGGTGGGGGGGTGGGGGTAGTGCAGAGGGTTGGGGGCGGGACGGGGAGGAGGGAGGGGGTAGAGAGATAGGGGGGGGGGCAAAGGGTTTGGAAGTGAGGCGGACGGGAGTACTTACCTATTGGTGCTTACCTTGTTTCTGATGCGAATATTAAAGCTCTTAATGTGACGTATTTGGTCTTTTGGAGTTGTGTGTGGGGGGGGGAGGGGGAGCAGTAGAAAAGTTACCAGGTTGAGGGTGAGGGGATCTCGTCTTCTTGTGCTTGCCGGGGAGTGGGGGGATTGAACTTCGGCTATTGGGTCCCGTCTTTCAACTGTTAATAAGTTTGTGTACATGTTCTTAAGCTCTATCATGTCTACATTTGAAACAGTGCTAAGAGTCTACCACCACCAGGTAGGCAAGTACACTCTCTCTCTCTTCCTTCTCATTTCGCTAGCTCTATCATCCATCTCTATCTCCCGATGAGGTCTTGTCGAGGACCGGGCCGCGGGACATTGAGCCCCGAAATCATCGCAGGGTAACCGCAAGGTAAGATAAGGTAGTGTATTCCATTTGTTCATTAGTACAGTATGTGACTTCTTTGTGATGGTTCCAGAAATCACTCTTCCCGCGGCCCAGTCTCACAACAAGCCTCCTGATTGGTAGTAAGGTCAACCAGGCTCTTCGACGCTGGTACTCACAGTCTGACTTATGAGGTGTTCATCAAGTTCTCTTTTAAAGACCGTGAAAGGCCGGCCCCTTATGTTTAGAGGGAGAGCGTCGAAAAGTCTTGGACCCTTGCAGTTAATAAGAGTTCTCTCTCAGTGTACTTATTGCACCTCAGCTCTTCAACGGAGGTATTCTGCACCTCCTGCCATGGCTCCTGGTCTCATGCGGTGTTAATTTCAATTTCCAGATTTGGAACAAATCCCTCTAATATTTTCAGTGTAAATTATTATGTATCTCCTACCTACGCTCTAGGGAATACATATTTAAATATTTTAGTCGGTCCCAATAAGTTATATGATTTATTGAGTGAATTTTGGCAGTAAAAGGTATCTGCAAGTTCTCCAGGTGAGCAATTTCTCCAGCTTAAAAAGGGGCAATAATATTCCACTCTAGAGAGCACTAGTGTCTGGGAATTATCATAATTGGCAGTATGGCATCCTATGTTTGAAAGGATCTTGTTATCCAACTTGTTATTTTTCTTGAAGTTGTGACAGCTACTTTATTCTGTTCTTTAGTATCACTGCTGCCTTATTCACTCTTGTGTTGATGATATCCTCATAATGCACCCAGAGTCTGCCAGTGCAGACTACTGATCACATGCCTCTGTATGACTAACCATCCTGTGTGATGGGGATTTTTAGCATCACGTGGCTAGCTTTTGACACACCCTGTATTACCCTTCACATAGTCGAGGGTAGCTGCCCAAATGCACATGTACCCAAATGTGTTAATAAAAAAAGTTCTTTAAAAAGGGAAGGGAGGTGTTGGGCCTATGTGGAGGTGATGGGGAATTGGGAGGTGTTGGGAAATGGGGAGGCGTTGAGTGATGGGGAGGTTGGTGAGCAGGTGTGGATAGGAAACCTTGGGAGGTAGAGAGGAAGGGAGTGGGACGGGCTCGTGGTTGAGGGGGGGAGGAATGGGAACGGGAAGTAGGAGGAGAGAGGGGGAGATGGGAGGAGATTGGGGTGGCG